CACTGAAAGCTTTCAAGAAGAGAATGTCAGAAATGGTGTAGGACAGGGGTGTCAAACTCACATCGTCACATCGGCGTCACATGACGTATTGGGACTTTCTCCCCCCTTCGCTAAACTGGATGTGGGCGTGGCCAGCATGTGACGCATCTGGCCTGTGGGCTGGGAGTTTGACAGCCCTGGTGTCAAACTACAAGTTCCCTTCCAACTCTGTTAATCTGTTAAATTGAAAAGTACTTTATTAGAGTACTCTGATAAAGTAGGATCACCCTATGGAAAGGGAGAACTCGTCGAAACCCATCTTACATTCCCTTTTACAGTTAAGACTTCAAAGAAAATGAAAGAGAAAAGGTGAATGGACACGGCAAAAATAACTTCCCCTTTGCATAGGCAATCTGTTACCTGTAGTCAAACATGTTACGTATTTGCATCCCATAATACCACACAAAGGGACGCGGTGGCTCAGTGCCTAAGATGATCAAAAGTTCAGCAGTTCAGCGGTTCGAATCCCTAGTGCTGCGTAACGGGGTGAGCTCCCGTGACTTGTCCCAGCTTCTGCCAACCTAGCAGTTCGAAAGCAGGTAAAAAATGCAAGTAGAAAAATAGGGACCACCTTTGGTGGGAAGGGATCAGCATTCCGTGCGCCTTTGGTGTTTAGTCATGCCGGCCACATGACCACGGAGACGTCTTCGGACAGCGATGGCTCTTCGGCTTTGAAACAGAGATGAGCATCGTCCCTTAGAGTCAGGAACGACTAGCACATATGTGCAAGGGGAACCTTTACCTTTACCTTTAATACCACACATGTTCGGCGGAGGGGGCGACCCGGAGCCGGCCCCTGCCAACGCTTGGCTCGTGCTGTTGTCGGTGCACTCCTTTGCTGGCTCCAAACTGCACAGAATCTTAGCTAGAGGTTCTCCCGAACCCCTGCGAACCCCCAGCAGCCCTCCCCTGCCCAACACCCTTTCAGAACACAAGCCCCTTCATTGCACCAACCCCAGAACAGTCCAAACTTCAAAGTCACAGAAACCTATAAAGATCCATCCACTCATTCTACCGTTTTGTCAGCTGCCCAGAATCACATGTGGATGTTCTATCCCCGTCACACACGCACACACACCAACAGACGTTCAAGAGTTAATGACCAAACCAGTCGGCAAAATCCTTTTCCTTATGATAACGGAACTTGGCAACAACCTAGTGGCTGCCTGCCAAGAGTTTATTACTTACGAAGAGGAGAGATAACTTCTCCCCACTTCTGGTACATCAAAGGAAAACAGCTCAATAATTACAGAGTCAATCAAGTCCAAAGATAATCCAGCAAAGTCTATAGCAAAAGTCCGGCAATGCAGAATGGCATGGAAGCTTTCAGCTTTGTTCGTCACAAGGTTTGACTGGCCACCACACTTCCTTTTATACCTTGTGGGGTGTGGTCCAGTGACTCAGCCTAATCTCGGGCATGCCTTTTCTTCTGTTGCGCGCGCTTATCTCTGCGATGCTGGCGTGGATCCAGCCAGGACTCATTACCCTCATCACTGTCCATCTGTGGCTGCGTGGACGTGCTTGGTCCCGGCCCTATCTCTTGCCCTTGGGCGGACACCGAAGGCATTGCCAGAGAGGAGGGTCCTGGAGAGGGAGGCCTTGCCAACTCCTCTCCTTCACTCTCTGAGTCCTCTCCTGACGATGACACAGGCTCAGGTAATGGAGCCACAACAGTGGCTGGTGGTTCTGCTTCATCAATAAACCATCTTTCCAATCAGCCTCCATATTTCCAGTGTCTTTCTCCCAGCTTGGAACTGAACCAGATGGATTTTCCTTCCAGCAGTGGGATGTTCAAGATCAAACTGCACACCCCCAGGTTTTTAAAGGCTTTTTAACACATCTAGGTTTTCCTAAAACACATCTGGGTTTTCCTCTTTGAGCATCAGACTATAATTAAAGGCACAGGGGATGGGGTAGCAGAACAATTATGACACAGGGGCCTGGAGTCAGTAGACTTAATTGCCATGTGAAACTGTGGAGATTTGGACAAAAACCTGGAACTTTGATGCTCTATAGCTGTGATGGCGAACCTATGGCACGCGTGCCAGAGGTGGCACGCAGAGCCCTCTCTGTGGGCATGCGCATCGTCACCAGCTGCACTTCTGGTTTTTGAAAAATGGCCGGAAAATGGCCGGAAAACAGCTTGAAAAACAGCCAGAAAATGGCTCCCGAAACAGCCTGAAAACAGGCCAAAAACGGCCAGAAAATGGCCCTAAAAATGGCTGGAAAACATCCTGAAAAAGCCCCCCAAATGGTCTGAAAACGCCTCAAAAAATGGCAAAAAGAATTTATAAAAGAAGCCATGAATAATCAAACTGCAGCTATGAACAACCAAACAGTAATTATGGAAGGGAAATTAAAAGAATTTGCGGAGGAGATAAATGCAATTAAAGAAGTTGTTGAAGAAAAGCACAATGAAATAAGAGATGACATTCTCCTAGCGGTCTCAGGATTGGCAAAAAACCTTGTTCAGCTGGAGGAGAAAGTAGAAGAAATTAATGAAGCCAATCTGAACTTGGAAAATAAAGTAGGAGACATTATGACTAAAACAGAGAAGGTGGATGACGAATTGGTTATGTTACAATATAGATCTATGGAATTTGCTTTGAGATTGAGAGGGTTGAAAGATAATAGCCGGGGAAATCTAAAGGACATTTGTGCTGAAGCTATGGCTGAGATAATCAAAGAAAGAGCAGAAGATGTGGCAACCGAATTGATAAAATTTACAGGGTTAAACTGCCCAAAAAGAGCCTCAAAAGAGCCCGAGAAATGGCCCAGAAAACAGCTGAAAATGGCCCGAAAAACGACCAAAAAACCAGTGCGTGTGTGCCAGCCAGCTAGTTTTTGAATTTCTGGCATTCTGGCATGGGTTCCTGTTTGGGCACTTGGTGCCGAAAAGGTTCACCACCACTGCTCTATAGGTTGACGACAGCAAGATTACTTTATGCACAAAAATGGAAGGACACTTCGATCCCCACAATGGACAAATGGCTGCAGAAGTTGGTAGAGTTAGCAGAGATTGACTGCTTTGATAAAAAGGAAAAAAAAAAAAAACCACAACTGCCTTGGTTTCTACTTGGAAACCACTTCTGGACTTTGTGCTTGAGGTGGGGAAAAAAAATGAAAGTTTGATTTTGGGCTTTACCGATTAGATAGGTTTGTTGTTATAGAAGTGGCTAGTTTATACTATTATGAAACAGTGGATTTTTGATGTTATTATTTTATTATTTTATTTATTTCTACTGCACCAAAGGGAGTCGGAAATCAATGCCTTTTTTTTAATTTTTAGAATAGAATAGAATTCTTTATTGGCCATGTGTGACTGGACACTCAAGGAATTTGTCTTTAGTGCATAAGCTCTCCAAGTACATAAAAGCTATGTGATAAATCATCATCATAGTCATCATAAAAATACATTCATCATAAATCATAAGATACAGCACTTAGTGATAGTCATAGGATACGAAATAAGCAAAACATAAATTGTACTAGGAAACTAAATAAAACAATATAAATTGTAAAGACACAAGCAGCAAAGTTATACTTATAAGTAAAAATGGAGATAAGGTAAAGTAAAGGTTCCCCTCGCAAATATGTGCTAGTCGTTCCCGACTCTAGGGGGCAGTGTTCATCTCTGTTTCAAAGCCGAAGAGCCAGCGCTGTCCGAAGACATCTCCGTGGTCATGTGGCCAGCGTGACTAAACCCCAAAGGCGCATGGAACATTGTTACCTTCCCACCAAAGTGGTCCCTATTTTTCTACTTGTATTTTTTACCTGCTTTCGAACTGCTAGGTTGGCAGAAGCTGGGACAAGTAACGGGAACTCACTCCGTTATGCGGCACTAGGGATTCGAACCGCTGAGCTGCTGCGTCCCTTTCCAGAAATGGAGATAGGTAATAGGAAAAACGAGAAGAATAATGGTAATACAGCCTTACTAAATAGTTTCACAGTGTTGTGGGAATTAGTTATTTAGAAGAGCGATGGGCATGGGTGAAAAAAAACTGTCCCTTTCTTTCATTTTCCCCACACTTTCCCCTTCTTTTTCCCCTCCCCTATCTTTCCTACTATTTTCTTTTGTATTTTTGTATCTTACAGTATTAATACGTAAATAAGATAAAAAAAAATTTTTAACAGAAACTGCGCAGTTGAAGTAGTCATAGCTCCCTGCAAAAGCAGACACGTACTTCCTGGAGACAGTATAAGTTAACCACAATGTTTTTCCTACAACGATGATATCAGCTTCACCTGATCCTCTGATAAAGAACAGTGGGGGGGGGGTGTCTCACTGAAGCAAGTTCAGAGTTCTGGGGACAGGCAGAAAATTGTTCCACCCCTATGTTGGTCCACGTTAGCATTATCCACATATCGGTGTGTTGCATCTCCTTTGCCAAGCTCCCCCAGATTTTTGAGAATCCGTAAGAAGGAGAGCCAGATAAAAGCTACTGTTTTGCAAATATTCTTATCAAAATAGTCACTTTTTTTTTGGCTTAGATCTTTTTCAGATCCATGCAGGATGGGCTGCTGGCGGTTTGCAAGGGTTCAGGGGAACCTCTAGCTGAGATTCTGTGCAGTTCGGAGAACCCCCAAATCCCACTCCTGGCTGGCCCCTCCTACCCCGCCCCACCACTCCCAGGGGTCCCTACGCAGCCCGTTTTGGATGCAGCTAAGTACAGGACGTGAGTGGGGGCTCAGGGAGGGAAAGAAATGGGCCTACCGAAAGTTCAGGAAAGCCAGAAACAGGCCCATTTCTGGCCTCCAGAGGGCCTCCAGAGCCTGGGGAGGCCGTTTTCGTCCTCCCGGAGGCTTGAGAAAAGCCTCCAAAGCTCGGGGAGGGCAAAAACGCCCCTCACACCATGGTGCAGGAGGCTGACTAGGCCACCATGCCACGCCCACCCAGCAACCAGGCAGAGGACCCCATGCTAAAATTTTTGAAGCCCACCCGGGGTGGGTTCTACTTACCTTTACTATCGGTTTGCAATGGGATTGCGCGTACATGTGCGCTTCGCTCGCGCACGTGCCTTCCTACTGCACATGTGCAGAAGCTTCTGCGCTTGCGCAGATCACTTCTGATGATGTCAGGGTCAGTGGGCGGAGCCTCCCACCGGTTTTACTACCGGTTCTATAGAACCGGTCTGAACCGGTGGCAACCCACCACTGAGCCCACCTCTAGATCCACGGCAAGTTGAGAAATAATGCAACACGGGAGCTGCTTGATGAATGAGAGCTTAATGTTGTATATAAAGTCAGCACCCACCCTCCTAGAAGAATGAAATATTTTGAGGAATATTTTTAAAAGGCAGATTATTATTTTTCACTAAAGGAGAAATGGAGAAAGATGCTCTTGGAGGCAGAAAGCAGACGCCAAGTCTTTCTTAATCGTCAGAGCAGATCTTGAGGCCAGCTTTTAGAAATGCCGATTTGACAATCCATTCAAGACAAGATATTTTGAAAGCAAGGCGGAACGGTAGGATTAGAAGCAGCCATCACCAAAGATCCAACACAGGAAAAAGTCATTAAGCTACAATATAGAAATTGCCCAACACTCTTTCAGAGCACAAGCCCTCATTGCATCATCCTCCAAACCTTAACCAAAAGTAGCTCAAACAACCTATAGAGCCAGCTATGGCCCCTACAACAGCCAATAGAATACATGTTCTTGCACAGGAACAGGAAGCTCAAGTGCACAGCCCAAGAGAAGGTATAAAAAAACTCCCACTCTCAACTCCATGTGGTCAGCTGCCCAGAACCATAAACACTGGATCGTCATTAAACTTTCTTTCCAATCAACCTCCATGTTTCCAGTGTCTTTCCCCCCGAGAAAGATGGATATCCCTTCCCACAGTTTGCATGATTCATTTAACAACTGCTGTTAACTCACTTACCGTATTTTTCAGACTATAAGACACACTTTTTTTGTCTCCCAAAAGGGGTGAAAATGTATGTGCGTCTTATAGGCAGAATATTGCCGAAGCCCCGCCCATCCGCAGCCCGTTTTTTGGGCTCCGTACACCCCATTTTCATGCCTTTTTCAGACTTTTTTTCGGCCCATTTTCAGAGCTTTTTTTCAGCCCATTTTTGAGGCTTTTTTCAGCCCGTTTTCGAGGCTTTTTTCAGCCTGTTTTCAAGGCTTTTTTCAGCCTGTTTTCGAGGCTTTTTTTGGCCCGTTTTTTCCAAAAAACTCACATAGCAATTTATTAAGTGATTGCCATTGCTTAGCAATGGAAATTTGAAGTTCATTTGTGGTCATATGTCAAGGACTAACTCTATTTCCCAGGCTTCTCAAAGGCTTCTCAGCAATCCCATCTCTTACCTATGCAAACTGGTTGGGAACTGCTCATCCATTGAACGACTCCAGAGTCATTCTTGCATCGGATAATGTTATTTACTCCGGCTGGTCTCTTGTAGCCTTCATCGCAATAATATCGAGCCCAAGTACCCACAACATACCGATCCATGTAATACTCTGCAAATTTACTTATATTGGGTTCAGGACATACATCTGTAAAAAAAGAGAAACAATGAATATGGTGCTGTTTGATCATGCCGGCCTGAAAGTCCCAGTTGGATGGGATCCATTGCATTCTTCCACCAGTCTTCCAGGATGGAAAAGACCCAAGGAAGCAGAAGCTCCTTCATTTAATTCTTTAGGACAGGGGTTCCCACCTCCTGGGCCTGCATTGGTCCCAGGCCATGGCCTGTTAGAATCAGGCCAAACAGCTGGAGAGGAGTTGGCAGGTGTATGTGAAGGATTTAGGTTGCATGTTTCTCCTTCCACCTCCAGTCCATGGAAAAAAATGTCTTCTACAAAACTGGTTCCTGGTGTTAAAAATGTTGGGACCTCCTCTGCCTTATTATTATATAATTCTTCTCATCTTTCCTATTACCTACCTCCGTTTCTACTTATGACTATAACTTCGTTGCTTGTAGCTTCACGATTATATTGTTTTATTTAGTTTCCTAGTGCGATTTATGTTGATTGCTTATTTAGTATCCTGTGACTATCACTAAGTGCTGTATCTTATGATTTATGATGAATGTATTTTTATGATGACTATGATCATGATTTATCACTTATAGCTTTTATGTACACTGAAAGCTTATGCACCGAAGACAAATTCCTTGTGTGTCCAATCACACTTGGCCAATAAAGAATTCTATTCTATTCTATTCTATTCTATTCTATTCTATTCTATTCTATCTATTCTATTCTATTCTATCTATTCTATTCTATTCTATTCTATTCCATTCCATTCTATTCCTTCTTTAATTCCATTCTATTCCATTCCACTCCACTCCACTCCACTCCACTCCACTCCATTCCATTCCATTCCATTCCATTCCATTCCATTCCATTCCATTCCATTCTATTCTATTCTATCCTATTCAATTCTTTTCCTTCTCTAATTCCATTCCATTCTATTATATTATATTCTATCCTATTCAATTCTATTCCTTCTCTAATTCCATTCCATTCCATTCTATTCCATTCTATTCCTTCTCTAATTCCATTCCGTTCCGTTCCGTTCCATTCCATTCCATTCCATTCCATTCTATTCTATCCTATTCAATTCTATTCCTTCTCTAATTCCATTCCATTCTATTCCATTCTATTCCTTCTCTAATTCCATTCCATTCCGTTCTGTTCCATTCCATTCCATTCCATTCTATTCTATTCCTTCTCTAATTCCATTCCATTCCATTCCATTCCATTCTATTCAATTCTATTCCTTCTCTAATTCCATTCCATTCCATTCCATTCTATTCAATTCTATTCCTTCTCTAATTCCATTCCATTCCATTCCATTCTATTCCTTCTCCATTCCGTTCCGTTCCGTTCCGTTCCGTTCCGTTCCGTTCCGTTCCATTCCATTCCATTCCATTCCATTCCATTCTATTCTATCCTATTCAATTCTATTCCTTCTCTAATTCCATTCCATTCTATTCCATTCTATTCCTTCTCTAATTCCATTCCATTCCGTTCTGTTCCATTCCATTCCATTCCATTCCATTCCATTCCATTCTATTCTATTTCTTCTCTAATTCCATTCCATTCTATTCAATTCTATTCCTTCTCTAATTCCATTCCATTCCATTCCATTCTATTCAATTCTATTCCTTCTCTAATTCCATTCCATTCCATTCCATTCCATTTCATTCCTTCTCTAATTCCATTCTATTCCATTCCATTCTATTCTATTCTATTTTATTCTATTCTTAGGATTTAACAGCATTATAGAAGGAAAGAAGGTTGCACATCAATACAGCAAGGCTAGAAAATAGAAGCAGAAGTTAGACATTTAGAATCAAGGAGGATATGTAAATAAAAATGAATTAAATCTGCAATTAAATAATGAATATTGATATAATGAATTATGATTAATAGACTTGGATGATAATGGTTACAAATGTGATGGTTATATGATGTTTATAATGCTTGATATTATTAACTAATTATAGATAATACTGAATAGAGCATTTAATTAAATAACGGAAAATATTTAATAAGGATATGTGAAGAATATGATGAATAGATTTTGAGAATAATAGTGATAGCTATTGTATGTATAAGAGTTATTATTTGTATTTAAAAGAGATACCCAGTCAGTACACTGTCATTGTGGATATGAACATTTTATATATCAGAAAGAAAATTGTATAATGGGTTTTTACCTAAGAGGCAAATTAGAAATAATATTGGAATAATTTTGGATACATTGGAGTACTATGAAATACATAGTGAAAATGAATTAGCATTAATCTTTTTGGATTCCCAGAAAGCATTTGATAATGTAAACTGACAATTTATGTTGCAACAATTAAAATGCATGGATTTTGGCAAATTTGGCAAAAAGAGAATTTACACACACCAGAGAGCTAAAGTGATGTTGAATGTAGATTTTAAAATAACTTGCAGTTATATCAGCCAAGTTTTACTTTCAACCAGGGTCTTACTTTCAGCCCCTTTCCTTTTACCCAAAGTCATCGCTGTGAACAAAAATGGAAAAAACATGCCTTGTGAGACTTCTATCACAGGTTTCCTGACTTCTTAATGAAGTTAAGAATCCACCTTCCCTTGAGTTCTTCCTGATTTTAATTTTTTTTTAAAAAAAAAAATTAAAGTTCGTTAGGAGATAAAATACAAATTAGAAAAGAAAATCAGAAAAGTTAAAGAGGAAAGAAGAAGGGTGCAGCGAAAAAGAAAGGTTTTTTTTAAAAAAAGCCCAGGAGCAATTTCCAGGTAGAAACAAAACTAGGTAAATTCTTGTCTTTCCTTTTGTAATTAACTCCCTTTTTCTTTTCAATATTTCTGGTTAATAAAACTCTACAGAATTTTCTTGTCTGTAGGTGGCTGCTAGAGACTTCACCATTAATCATATACGGGTTTCCTCCTTCGGCAACTGAAGGGTTTGCTTGAGTTCCCCATTTCTCCTTGTTCTGCCAAAATTTATGAAATTGTGGATGAAAGACCATCAGAAATTCCCAAGTTTCTTGGAAGGATAGGATTTTTTTTAAAAAAAGAAAGAAAAAAAGAAAAAGCATCTAGGAATAAGAAAACTGCAGTGCATGTACTCCCTAACATTGATGAGAAAAGGTTCCTGGATAGAACAACAGAGTGGGAAGGGACCTTGGAGGTCTTGTAGTCTGACCCCTGCTCAACCAGCAGATTCTATACCATTTCAGGCAAATGACTGTCCAATTTGTTCTTAAAAACCTTCAGTGATGGAGCACCCACAACTTCTGAAAGCAAACCATTCAACAGACTTGACTGGTGTAAATTTTCAGAAAATTTCCCATTATTTCTATGTTGCTTCTCTTCTTGATGAGTTTCCATCCGTTGCTTCTTCTCCTGCCTTCAGGTGCTTTGGGAAATAGGTTGACTCCGCACCCCTCTCTTCTTGGTGGCGGCCCCTCAGATACTGAAAGACTGCTATCATGTCACCCCTAGTCCTTCTCTTCGTTAAACCAGACATAATGCAATTCCAGCAACCATTCTTCATATGTTTTAGCTTCCAGCCCCCTAATCATCTTTGTTGCTCTTTCTAGAGTCTCAACATCTTTTTTATATCATGGGTACAGTCACCAAAATTGGATTTACCTTGAGGCTAACTTTCCCTTACATTTCTCTCTCTCTGTCCCTCTCATTTTCAGGAATGGGCTAAGTCTGATCTACCAGTTATTAGTGAACTACAATTCCCAGCACCCCCTCAGCATGGAACAAACTGGTTGATGCTGCTGGAAATGTTAGTTTAGCAGTAAATTCTCTACCAAGAATGGGACAAATTTATTAATAATCTTCCTACCAACTAAAAATGTCCTCAGGGACAATTAGACCACCAAAGAGCCTTGATAGTACAGTGGTCTACGCACCCTGTTATTAACACAGCTGCCTGCAATTTACTGCTGGTTCGAATCTCTCCAAGGCTCAAGGTTGACTCAGCCTTCCATCCTTTCTAAGGTAGGTGAAATGAGGACCCAGTTTGTGGGGGCAATAAGCTGACTTTGTATAAATATACAAAAGTATGAAGGCTATTGCTTAACGCATTGTAAGCCACCCTGAGTCTCCGGAGAAGGGCGGCATATAAATCAAATTTTTAAAAAAAAATGATTCCAGGATCGCTGTTTTGCAGAAGCAACATTTGCAGACAGATAATGTTAAGCTGCCACCTGATTTGCCTTCCCCTGAGACATACAACCACTCTCCCATCCTGTCAACTACAACTAAATCATCTGCAAAAAAATAAATAAATAAAAATCTTTGCTTCAGAATTTTGATTTCATTCACAGGCACGTTCAGAGACAAATCCATCCATGGGAAATGGAACTGCTAGAATATTTGGCTTTCCCTTACATAATTTCAGGTGAGAATCGCAACGGAAGACAAGTTAACTTACCGTTTCCAAGCCCTTCACTATATTGGAAAATGCTGCATAACAGAAGGAGCCCAAACTCAAGAAATAAGTCGGTCATGTCTTCTTGAGTTGAACTTCAGATCAATTTGAAAGGGAGTTTTAGCTAACAAAATTCGGAGTCTGTAGATCTCTCTTCTGTGGAGGTTCAGAGCAGAAGGCAGTTTGATGGTATTTTACCAGCCTTACGTACTTTTCGCCCACCTACCCACCCTGTAAGGAGCTGAAATTGAAAACAGTCATAAATACTACTCATCTAGGAAGTTGCATTTTCAAATAAGGTTTTTTTTTTTTAGCTGAGCTACGGTTGAAGGAAGTGGTTTGCCCATGCGGTTCAGAAACCTGACCGACGGAGTGGACAATTTTTACCACCCCTCGTGCCAACTCCTTCGAAAATCAAGAGGCATCTAGCTGAAGTTGCAAACCAATTTCCTTTGGTCAATTCATTTACGTTGCTGTGCCAACGACAAAGAAGGAAAACGTCTGGCAGACCAAGGACTGTAATATGTAAATAGTGATATTCCTTTATCTTTTATCTTTTGCATTTCATTTTCAATTCATCCTGCCCACACAGGCCATGACGATTACTGTACAGAAGTGGTCAAAATTGTGGAAACCTTTTAGGAACCGTGTATTTTTGAGGTTTGATGGCTAATAACACCATTTTTTTTTAAAGAGTTTCAGGATAATCCTATTCCACTGCTGGAATGGCCTGGGAATAGCCCAGACTTTAACCCAATGGAAAATCTTATGGAGCTGACTAAAGAAACTGGTTAGTCAGAGGCGACTCAGCAATAAAACCCAGTTAATAGAAGCCATCATTCCATCTTGGTTTCACATTATAACAGCTGCAGAACTCAAAGACTTGGTTCCATTCCATGGGAAGACGTTGTAAGGCCGTAATTCATGCTAAAGGTTACCCAACTAAGTATTAACTGACATGATAATTTTTGTATATCTGTTTTTTTCTACATGTTTCACTTTTTTTCTTTATACTGTTACTGCTATTCTAATAGCAAATCCTTCATAAAAGTTATTGCATTACATTCTTGATTAAATTATCTTTCCATTGATATATCATTTTATGGTACTTCAAAAAAAAAGTGGTGTTATTAGCTAGTATTAGAAAATATACTTTTCCCAAAAGGTTTCCACAATTTTGGCCACTACTGTAGTTTAGGATACAGTAATCCCTGATTTACGACCATAACCGAGCCCAACATTCCTGTTACTGAAGGAGCTGGTACAGTAGATGTTAAAACTGTCTGCGCTGGTCCTGTTGGTCAGGTTTTTCAAAGGCATGGGCCAACCACTTCCTGTGAGACAGTTGTTAAGTGAGTTTTGTCCCATTTTATGACCTTTCTTACCACAGTTGCTAAGTGAATCCCTGCACTTCTTAAGTTAGTAACATGGCTGTTAAGTGAATCTGGCTTTGACTTTGCTTGTCAGAAGGTCACAAAAGGAGATCATGAAAGGGGACACTGTAACCATCATAAATCTATGCCAGTTGCCATGCCAAGTATCCGAATTTTGGTCATGTGTGACCCCTGAGGAAGCTGCCAACGGTCATAAGTGTGAAACGCAGTCACAAGTTACTTTTTTTTTCAGTGCTGTTGTAACTTTGAGTGGTCACTAAGCAAACCATTGTAAGTTGAGGACTACCTGCACCATACTTCATCTAATGCAGGGGTCTCCAATCTTGACAACTTTAAGACTTGTGGACTTCAACTCCCAGAGTTCCTCAGACAGCTGGCTGAGGAACTCTGGGAGTTGAAGTCCACAAGTCTTAAAGTTGTCAAGGTTGGATGGAGACCTCTGATCTAATGAGTGAGGCTGCCGTGAGATCTTGTTCTACAACAAACAACCAAGTTCAGAGAGAACCAAGGACCCCACATTTCAATCCTGAGCTATTCTATTGGAACTCTATCCATGTTAGACAGGTAGCAACTCAGTACTGTATTGGAAGGATACTCTAGACCAGGGGTGTCAAACTCAAGGTCCAGGGCCTGGATCTTGCCCACAGGTGCTTAGATCTGGCCCACCCTGGAAACAGTAGTTTCCTGGAAACAGTGGAGGAAACACTGGCTTACGGTGCCTCTGCCAGCGAAAACGGCGCTCGGGAGGGCTGCGTGCGGCCCTCCCGAGCTCCATTTTCACTGCCAGAGGGTTGCAGGAGGCTACCGCAGCCAAAAATGGAGCTCGGGAGCCCATTTTTGCTGACAGAGCACTGGGGCGACCACAGGCATCCCCCACATGAGTGATATAGAGCTGGCCACACACACCCTGGTTCCCCGAGGTCAAACACAACCCTGATGCAGCCCTCAATGAAACCGAGTTTGACACCTCTGCCCTATATTCAGCCAAAAAGTACTCAAGATTATGACAAGGGTTTAACATTTCCAGTGCTACCTCCTCTTTATCCAGTCTCAGGACCCACAGAAACCAATGTAAAACTTAAATTTTGTTGCTTCTGAGTAAAAGGTTTCACTAGAAGTAACTACTCCCTATATTACCCTCATCCATATCTACCCAATTTATACTCTGGCTAGCTTTGAATTCCAGCAGAATCAAAGAAAGTAGTCATCAGACTCATCAGATCACCTTTGGGTGATTACTCTGAAGTCCCATAATTCCCATCCTATCCAATAAAGGCTTGGTCAGTCCTAGTTTAGCAATAGCACTTAGACTTATATACTGCCTAATAGTGGTTTACAGCACTCTCTGAGTGGTTTATAGAATCAGCACATTGCCCCCAACAATCTGAGTCCTCACTTTACCAATCTTGGAAGGATGGGAGGCTGAGTCAACCCTGAGTTCCGTTAGGATTGAACTCCAGGCTGTGGGCAGAGTTAGCCTGCAGTACTGCCTTCTAACCACTACGCCACCTCAGTTCCTAGAGTGTCATGCCTCTGTCAGAGCCTGAATCTGCAGGAGAAGAGGAGCTGGAATTAGCGCTGACAGAGATCAAGGTGGCAGCTTCGTTGGCTTCGGAGGAATGTGGGGAGGAGCAGGCTGAGTCAGGCCAGGGCCTTTCAGGATTGAGACGGCTTGTAGGCAGGGAGGAACAGGGGCAGGATGACCAAGAGAGACTAAGCAGTGAACATGAGAGACAGACCTAAGCTGATGAGCAAGGACCATCCCCTCCTGATCTTCGAGCATGGAGAGTGGAGAGAAGGCGAGAACAGCGCAGGCTGACCCGATGACTTGGGAGGAGACCGCCCCGTCCCTCTTCACAAGGTACACATGGGGACTGAGACTTAAGGAGATGCTGTGGGGAGGGGCATTTGTTGAGAACAAACACTGAATTCATGGAGTGTTGTGTGCCGTTTGAAGTTTCCTGGACTACTTGCTTTATTTCTGGCTTCCTGGATTAATTGCCTTGTTCCTTCGCTTCCTGGATTCATTGACTTATTCCCTTGCGCTGATGGATTTCTTGCTTTGCAGCCGTTGTGCACACAGCATTGTGCTGGACTACTTGCAGGCAGAGGCTGTCGGAGGTGTGTGTGTGTGTGTGTGTGTGTGTGTGTATGTGAGTGAGTGTGTGTAATCCCTTTGCTCTGGGACTTGCCAGTGTTTGGGGGAAAGTTGGAGCAATAAAGGAATGGTTTGAATTATCAGATGACTGTGTTGCCTCTGTGTCGTGCCCCAGGTCATCACACAGAGCTTGATACTCTTCTCATTCTATCTCCTGGTATTGGCCCACTTGAGCCAATCATCTTTTAGTACGGGAATAATCTCTTGTGATCCTAAAGGAAATCAACCTGAAGCTGAAGCTCAAATACTCTGGCCACCAAATGAGGACTTCTTGGAAAAGACCTTGATGCTGGGAAAAATGGAAGGCCAAAAGGAGAAGGAGATGGCAGAGGATGAGATGGTTAGATAGTGTCATCAACACAACGAATATGAATTTGGGCAACTCTGGGAGATGGTGAAGGACAGAGAGGCCTGGTGTGCTATGGTCCACAAAGCGTTGGATACGATTTAGTGACTGAACAACAGCAATCTCTTGTGGAATCTTTGTAGAAGTTTTCATTCTTGATGAACGTATCTTTTATGTATACCGAGAGCATATGCACTGAAGATAAATTCCTTGTGTGTCCAATCACACTTGGCCAATAAAGAATTCTATTCTATTCTATTCTATTCTATTCTATTCTATTCTATTCTATTCTATTCTATTCTATTCTATTCTATTCTATTCCTTCTCTAATTCTATTCTATTCTATTCTATTCTATTCTATTCTATTCTATTCTATTCTATTCTAGTCTTCCTCTAATAAAGAAACCTTGCTATCTAATAAAGAAATCTTCCTGGACAAGTCCGTGAACCTCTAGGTTTTGTGTTTTAAGTGGTTTTCATGTTCTCCGACATTCATTCACACCCCTCTACAACTTCGTAGAACGAGGTCCGCTGTTTACCTAGAAACCAAACAACTACAAAACAATCTACAACAACAAGGCGGTAAGAACGGTAGTTTGTGGTTCACCATCTGTGGAGAGCCAGCAAATGCGTCAGGACGCGAGGCGCCATCTTTTAAAGTCGACTTCTGCTGGTTTGCTTGGCTAATAATGAGTTATGTGAACATAGCAGCTGCTTTTTGTTAATTCGGATTTAGTGTTAGATATGCGGAATATAACAAGAGACTATGAGCAGAATAACAGAGTTGGAAGGGACATTGGAGATCTTCTAGTCCAACCCTCTCCTCAGGCAGGAAACCTTATATACCATTTCAGGCAAATGATTGTCCAATCTCTTTTACCCCTTTTTCAAATCAATCGCTCTCTCTCTATCCAAAACGTTTTCTGCTTTCTCGTGCAGGAATGGACAACTGTGTCTTCTTGTTGCTACTGATAGCAACTACTGATCAACTCTTGGTAGCCTCACACCAATGACAGAAAAGGATTTCTTTTCTTTTTTTAAAAAAATTGTTTTTTATTTTTATTTCTTATATACATATTGTAAATGTACATTCTCTTATCCATAATTTTATTTATTTATTTATTTATTTATTTATTTATTTATTTATTTATTTATTTATTTATTTATTTATTTATTTATTTATTTATTTATTGGTTGGTTGGTTCGATTTAT